AAAATTTAAAAAGTAAGGGTTTTTAGAAGGGTTTTTTTTTTTTTTTTTTTTTAAGGAAGCCGATTATCTCAGAAAAAGCAAGTAAAAAAGGATAATGAGAGAAGCAGAGTAAGCAAAATCAACACTGGGTTGACTTGATATAAGAACAGGGTATTAAAAAAATTAAAATAATATTATTTTAAATAAAAAAACTAAAAAATATTTGTACATTTTAACCTAAATAGTCAAGTTATAAGTTAATCAAGGTTTTTTCGATTGAATCCTATCATATTAATTATTTATCTAATTTGTTTTTTTATAAAAACCGACCTCATCCTTATATATACACATACACAATAAAATCTAATATATCTTAAATTCATCTTTAGATTTTTGAAAAAAACATCTTTCAATTGTTTCCATCATGTACCTAGAGGATTGAATTATTTGTATATATTGATTCCAAGATTCGAGCAAAACAATCAATGACATAGACAAATCACATTTACCATAAATCCCATTGTTTTTAACTTAAACCACCATTAATAGGAGCACCAACTCTTAAACAATGCTAAGCCCGTGGGACTGAAGCTGTCTTGTCGCATCGCAATGGACACTTTAATCCACGAAATCACAGACTAACGTAGTGGCCACTCATGCTTTAATCATTTCTCACCAAGAAGTCGAAAACTAAGACATGGTTTAAAGTCCAAACTAATGGCAGCCATTTGAGGAGATCTGAAAAGTAGTTCGTCTTAATTAAGACGGAGAAAACATCGTTATCTACGTCTTGGAAGGTAGCAGAAAAGGGTGGTGAAAGAAGACGACTTTGGAAGGGAAGAGACGAGAGAACAGCTGGCTTGAAGGGTGTGAACCAGCCATTTCTTGAGAAGCTAGCCACAAATAAATTACTAGCATCCAGTGCACGCACGCCCGTAGAATCTCACTCACTTTCCGCAGAGGATGACCAAACCCTAACTAGGCCAAGCTAGCTATGATGGCAAATTGCCATTATGTAGTTTTCCTTGAATCAATAAATGAAAAGAAAGCAACCACGCAGAAGAAAGAGATCTGCTTTCCTGGCTGGCCATGGCAGGCTGCTACCCATTTTGTATGCTGAACTCTTACAACTGCTCAGCATGGTCCCCCTTCCTCCCCTAACTTTTCCTTGTTACAGGGATGCAATGCAGCCCATTCCACCTTTTCTTTTATCATTGTCTCATTCTTTTGATACTTCATTTTCTAGCTAAATAATTGATGGAAAAAAAAAAAGATGTTAGAGAGTAAATTAGAGATCTTTTTAAAAATATTTCTGTTTGGAAATATATAAAATAATATATTTTTAAAATTCAGACATAGCACATCAAAAAATCTAAAAACACTAAAAATAAACTAAAAATAAAAAATCTCAAATTTTACTGAAAAATAAATTGATCACAACCTCATATAGGATATTAACAGGATATTCGTAAAAGGGAAAGGGAACAATAATAAATTTGGTTACAGATACTGACCATCATGCTATACGCTATGGTATGTTAATGCTAAAACTAGAAAGGAATATCATGGGTTTCAAAATGAATCTGTTTCTTTGGAGATGGCGACATAAAATTGTAGAAAGGGAACGGTAGATCATTTCCTGGCTGGCTATGGTACGTCTGTGGATTTTTTCTTTTTTTAGTGAATGCTAGATCATTTATGCTCCACTGAATCTGTAATTTATCGACTCGAAACTTTACCCGACTCGGGTAGAGTTTCATGTTCACCTAGCCAACTTGTGGATTGATTGGGCTGTGTTAAAGGCCGGTTTATTTGGGGGCTTCGTATTTATTGTGTGCATACCATATAAAGAGCAGTAGATAGGAGGAAGGCGGCTGTATCTCTATTTGTTGGGAATTATATTAACCGTGTATACAGAGGAGCGGCCTTTCCTGGAAGCTCCCCTGAGGAGGGAGAGAGAGCTTTTCCGGCACTGTAGGAATTGGGCAGGTTTGGTTGTGGATGTATATGAAGCTCTCGTACTCAAGGAGAGGCGTTGGGAGACCTTGCGTTTTGCTGTAACTTTAGCTAACTGTATCCGATGCAATACCATTGCTGGTGGTGGGTGCGGTGCTCAAGAAGGGAATCAGAGCCGGTGACAGAGGGTGTCTAAAATATAAAGTATTTTCAACTTTGTTTTGTCTAAATAAACCAAATCAATTGACTTTTTAAGTATTTTTCAATAACTTTTAATAACAAAACCCATGAATTTATTATTATTAAATTTATATAAACCATCAATTTAATAAATTATATTAAAAATCATGTACCAATCAATGAGTTTATTGTAATTTTATCTCAAATAATCAATTTAATGAATTATAATCATAATATGAATCTTTTCGCATTTAATATGACATGAAATAATTAACAACACGTCAATTAAATTACAAAAATGACATGAACAAATTAATAAGGCATAATTTTTTATTTTTTTAAAAATTACTCTCCCCGGCAGTTTTACTTGTTTCGAGTTGGAGAGAAAGACTACTGTGAAGCTTGAACACAAAATGCCTTCCGGTTGGGTGCCTGGAGTATGGTTCTCCATAGGAGGTGACAGTTGCTCGGGGATCATCTACAGGCATGAATTTCCTCCTAAACAAATGTTCTTTCCACACTTTGTACATCTCTTCAATTGGTACGTGCTTCCTTTCAGGCAAGAAAGGAATAAAGGAAGAAGTCATAATTGCCACAAACTCGGAAAGAAGATGAACAGGCCACATTTCATCAGGGAAAGCATAGGAAGAAACAATTGAGCAATAGAGAAGGCGAAAAACATATTAACCGAGAGTACGATGCTTTGCCCGGCTGACCGGATTTCACTTGGCATTGCGAAAGCAGGAACAAAGAAGCAGATACATGCCACAACTATACCTGCATACCAATGTGACATTTAAGTCACGTCTGCAGATGTTCCAAATTTCCGTTTAATAAGAGCTGCAAGCAAAATCTGCACATGTAATTACATTAAATGAATTGCATAAACACGACAAGGGACAGGGTGAACCCCTGAATATGATAGATATGAAAACAAAGAAGCAAGCATGATGTATATAGAATCCTGTGCAAAAGAGAAAATAGTGGATTGAGTTCATGATCATACCTGTGACGCTAGCAGGCTCATTTTCGCACCCATATTGCAGAATCTGGTTGCAGGTAGCAGCTGGTAGAGACAATAGAGAAGAAAATCAGAGGAAATAAAAACCATATGCAGCACTGCAACTTGTTTGTGTTGTTTCTCTAATTCTTGTTGCGACCTGTGACTGATCCTTAGCTAAAGATGAAGGTATTTGCTTTATCACATTGTTATTATAGTTCTAAGCTGAGCTAACTAGTGTCATTAGGCTACATTGAGTGGTGTTATTTATTGTGTAATCAATTTAAAAAATTCAAGATTCCAAGTAGGTTCAATCTGCTATCCTTCCTACAATTACATGGTGACCAAATAGCACGAGTAGGATTGGAAGTTATGTGATCTGAATTCCAGTGTTAAAAGTAATGTACTCAATGAAATCTAGTGACCCGGAAAACTTTTGGCAGTCTTGTACTTTTCACAAAATGGAATTTATAGACTTCTGAAAAGTTTGGATACTTACAAAATTCAAAGAAAGCTTTGTATGAAGGCCCAGGTATGGTTTTGTTAAATTGGGATGCCTCAGATGAAGATCCTTGCAGGTGGTCTGGCATTTCCAGCTCCTTTGCTCGAGACCATCTATTAAAGATGTAAGAGATGATACATCAAAATTTTCTATCAAAACTCCGTATTATATATGCTAGTCTTTCTCTAATTAGATCCTAGCACATGGTACATATGAGGTGCATTTATCAGTGAATCAAGTTATAACCATTTTTTTGTTGGAGTTATATTTTTGCAGAAACGTATCCAGGTATTTTTTTTTAAGGGGATTTCTTGCCCCAGAGGTGGGTCGGATCAAGAACTTGCAACAACTGTACGTTTATTTATTCTTCTTCTTTTTATTGTTTGTCCTAACATTATACTGAAACTAGTTGTTAAGGTACATGCTTTGGACATAACTAATAATTCCATAAAAAGTAATGTTTTGCAACGAAGAACAAGGGGATACTCAAAACATAAGTGCGTGATTTCCCATCTCTATGTGATTTTTTTGAACAAATTTCTATGTGAAATTGAAAAGATCAAATAGGTAAAATATTAGATGCCTTATCATGCTAAAAAACTTGATTCATTCATACGGAACTGCTGATATTAGTTTCTATACAACAGGATTGGATCGTTTTCAGTGCCCTCTCCCACACTGTGTGTCTTGCAGTCTCTGTTAGTCTGTCCCAAAATGTGGGTGTGTGTTTCAAATCTTTGCGGATTCTTTTACCAATGTTACCATTATCTCAAAGGCTCCATCTTTCACGGAATTCTGCTTTGCCACTTCACGCCAAGAGTCCTTTAAATATTCAATTCTGTAAAATTTTTGGCTTTGGAGATCATGTTTAAGATGGAAGCTGACGGTTTCAGTTGCAATTCTATCATCTTGTCTAATAAAACCTCAGCTTCTTCCCACTTCCCATCCTTGCATAGGACTCCGATGATAGAACTGTAGCTAGCCACATTTGGAACCAACCCCTTAGCTTCCATTTCTCTAAGCAACCTCAAAGCCCTATAGGAGTTATCCTCTTTGCAGTAACCATGGATCATTGTATTGTATATCACGTCACTTGGTTCCACGTGTATTTCACCCATTGATCTAAACAGTTTTGATGATTCTTTCATGTTACCTTTCATGCACAGACCATGTATTAGCACACCATAGACGTAGACATCAGGAACCAAACCAAACTTCTCCATAGAGGAATAAATTTGAAATGCTTTCTCCATTTCTTGCAATCGAACATAAGCATCAATTAAAACAGTACATGTCACTTTAGAAGGAGAAATGCCTCTCCCCTCCATCTCCCTTGCTAAATCAGCAACTCCTTTCCAATTTCCAGCCTTGGAATATCCTTCAATGAGAATATTATAGGTCACCAAAGATGGAGATAGACCATTTGACTTTAATTGATCTAGTAAACTTGAAGCCTTATCCAAATTCCCAACATCACAAAATCCACCTATTAATGTGTTATATGTGATTAAATTAGGACTAACAGCAGCTTTCTTCATTTGATCCACCAACTTCTCAGCCTCCCAAACCCTCTCCTCTCTACACATGCCACCGATCAAAGTATTATACGTGACGACATTTGCTTCTACACCTCTCTCACGCATTTCATCAAACAAGTCAAAAGCTCTGCATATTTTTCCTTCACTGCAATACTCATTCATCAAACAATTATACGTATACAAATTGGGAAACAGCCCATTAATCTTCATCTTCTCAAACAAATCAAAACCATCTTTCTTAAGTCCTTTCTTAAACAACCCATTAATCAATACCGTAAAAGTATACTGATTTGCAACCAAACCCATCTCTCCCATCTTATCAAAAAACAACCTAGCTCTTTCAATATCACCATTCTTACAACAACCATCAATCAAAGTAGTGTATATGACAACATTAGGAGAAAGACCCATGTCTTGTAAAAGACCCAACAGTTGAAAACTTCTATCCAAATTACCATTTTGACAACAACCCTTGATCATTATCCCAAAACTATAGACATCAAGCTTAACCGTCTCTTTCAATTCATTAAAAACCAACCAAGCTTTCTCAAAACAATTTGATCCCACAAGAGAACCCAAGAGACTATTAAAAATGTTAGGGCGAAAGACAAGACCTTTATCAACCATTTCATTGAAAAAGACGAGGGCTTTGTCTAGTAATTGAGATTTAAGATGGGCATTGATGATTGTTTCATAGAGAGGAGCAGTACTCATAGATGGGTTCTGGTTCTGGTTTTGATTATGTGTTAAATGGTGGAGAAGAGATGGGACAGTGAAAAAGGGAGAGGAGATTCTGTTGGAAAGTATTTGGAGGAGGAGAGATTGTGCATGGGGAAGTTTGTGATGGTCAAGAAGGTGTTGGAGAAGGAAAGAAATGGAGTGGTGAGTTTGTTGGAAGCCTTGTTGAATCGAGGAGTTGAAGAGTGATAAGGCTTGAAGAGGAGGGATTTTCACCATTTTTGGGATCAAAATCAGCGCTTGCTGCTTCCCCATTTCTTGCATTCTCTTCTGCCTTGTCAATTTGATTCGTCTTGTTTTTGGCTTCTTGCCTTGTCTTGGTCGACTGAAACTGATTCGTGGTCGCTTTAAGCAAGAAACGACGCTGTTCCTTTGAAATCCAATAAATATGATTACTACGATATAAATATTATCCGATCTACAATCCAATCCAAATCAGTCCATGATTAAATTATAAATATTAATGCTGTGCACATATAAATAGGATAAAAAAAAATATGATGAAATTATATATATAGAATAATAGATATTTTTTAAATAATAGATATCTGATAAATATAATATAAATATTTAAATTCATTGTTCAAAAAATATGAAATATGATATGAAAATAGTAGAAAAACATGTATATATATCTATTGTCACCATTCTTTTTTCTTTTTTTTTTGAAATTTTCTACTTATGGGCTAATTATTAAAAAAATAATATAATTCTCTGATACAAAATATTCTCGTATGAATAATTTATTCAGGTTTTGGTGGCTGAACTGAACTTCAAGCTATGCAGCAAGGTTTACAATTTTACATCATGCTTGGAAGCTTGGGATTTAGAAAGATGATTCTTAAAGTTGATTCTCAGGAAGCCTTTCGTATGGTCAGGGAGGGCAATTCTTTATTTCATCCATACGATGCTCTAGTTGCTGATATTAATGAGCTGTTTAACAGCAACTGGTCCTGCAAAATTACTCGTTCTTGGAGAGGGTAAAAGCTTTGGCAAAGTTGGGTGCCTCTGGTTCTGATTCCTTTGTTGAATGCTCTGAACTTCAAATTTAGGTCCTCCGATTCTGATATTAATGAGCTAGTAGTCTCTCTCCCTAAAGTGCTCTCTTATTTGCGAGTTCTGCAAGCATTACATGGTGATGCTGTGGTGTTCGTTTCTTGAGGAGCTAGTCTAGCTTCTGATACTATTATACCAAAAAAAGAAGAACAATTCACCAACAAATCGTTACTGAAATTTTGAAACTAAATTTTTGCGTGCTAGAGATTCGAAGTTCAATCATATTACATGCCTTCAGTCAACAATCTGAGTGAATCCAACCGGAAAAATACAGACAACATTTAGCAAAAACTTTACAAAGTATCTTGAAGCTAAGGATTTCAAACGCTTCACAAGGGTTAAGGACGTAAGTGATTTCATTCATCAAACCAACTTAAGCCCAAGAACAAGCTTACACCTATGCTCACAGAATGAGCTCTTCAACATTGCTTTGAAATGTCTGTGCATTACATATATATGGCAATAGGATAACAGTAAAGATAATGTTTCCTGAAAACAAATGGCGTTCTTATAGTAGCAAGTAATTGTTACATATGCAAAAACAATGCTTAAGAGATGTTTCAAGTAAGAGTAGATGAAACTATGATCGGCTACAAAGAGCAGAACTTTGTGAGGGGCATGACACAGTAAATTAATGAATCAGCAAAACTTAAGCGATCAGTTCATAGACCAGCAGTAAGTTTTTTATTAATTGTAGCTACCAAGATGATCAGCTGACTCTACTATTTCTGGACTTAAATCAGATGAGTTGGGTTAGTAGAGTCAAGGATAAGCTTATTAAAAGCTTATAGCATGCAGTAACTGCAAAAAGAACTACGGTCTCAAAAGATGGTTAAGGTATGATGAAGAATTAACGCAGTATATAGCATAATCCACTAGACATTGCATTCCCTTTATTAAAAAATGGTCATAAATTGAAATTAAAGACAGAGCAAGGGAGGACAGAAAGAAGTGAACAAACAGTACATGGCAGATACCCTCCATTAAAAGCTATGCTACTCTTGCTGACAAGAAAACTTTAAAGATCTTGTTTTTCTAATTATTTATTTTATTTTTGGATAAAAGAATCGTTCTACTTGTTAAAAGGTATGTATTTATACAGTTCAATCCTTGACATATGATAGTAGGTTACAAGTGCTATAAACTCTGTGTTCTGCGTCCAGAAATCTAAAGTCAAGTAAATCAATTAGCCAGTTTGCTGAGAGATCTTACCTACGCTCTGATCAACTGAGAGATCAAATCTAAGTTTATCAACTATCAACGGTCTGTATATGAAATATGCAACCGTCAGAAATCATCTCTTTTGACGATCTTTAGAAGCTTTGCTCAACTCATTCAATAGTGATCTATAAGATGCATAGTCAGAAACAAGCCCCATTTCAGTCTTGAAATTTTGGAAGTCTCCTAGTTTCCCATGTTTGCAATGCCCTTGTAATAAAATGTTGTAAGTAATGTCATCTGGAACTACACCCAAATTGAGCATTGCATTCAAAAGCATATCAGCATTTTTCACCTGGCCTTGCTTGCAGAGTCCATTCATAAGCACATTGTAAGTGATCACTCCTGGTATATGTCCATCGCTCTGCATCTCTTTGAGCAACTTAAATCCCATCTTCACATCACCCTTCTTACAGAACCCATCCATGACCATGGTATATGTGCCATCATCTGGTTTCAAACCCGCTCTCAACATCTCCCTCAATGTTCTCTCTGCATCTGCTATTTTTCCATCTCTACACAATCCAGAAATAATGGCTGTGAAGGCTACATTATCTAGCTGAATACCTGCTTTTACCATTTCCTTCTTCATCTCCAAAGCCAATTCCAAATCTCCCTCCTTGCAACTACCATCCAAAAGTGTAGTGTACGTAAATTTATCAAGTCTCAAACCTCTCTTAGTCATCTCGCCAACAAACTTCCTTGCTTCCCTAAAATATCCACTCTTACAAAGGCCATTGACGAGTGTATTGTACAACACCAAATCAGCTTTCAAACCTTTAGTAAACATTTGCTGATAAATTTCCAAGGCCAAATCAACTCTCCCATTCTTGCACTGCCCACTAATCAATGTGGTAAAAGTAACATCATTAGGAACCAGTCCTCTATCACACATTTCCTTAAACAAATGATTCGCATCATCCAACTGACACGCCTTACACAACCCATCAATCAAAGCACTATAAGTAAAAACATCAGGGAAAACCCTAAACTCCTCCATTACCATCTTCAACCTAAAACCCTCGTCTAAATTTCCTGATTTACAGTAACCATTAATCAAAGTATTAAAACTAACAGCAGTGGGCTGCAGACCTGTCTTCCGAATTTCATCAAAAATCGATTGAGCATCCTTAACTTTACCTTCTTTACACAATCTATTCATTAAAATATTAAAACTATACACATTTGGTGGATACCCAGAATCCAAGATCTCCAGATAAAACTTCAAAGCTACCATAGGAGAGCTCATTTTAATCATTCTTTCAAGCAAACACTTGCAACCATTAAATGGGATTTTCAAATTATGCTTCTTTGTCAATCTAAAACACTGAATAGCATCAGACACGTAACCAAATTCAGTATACACACTCATTAAAGCATCAAAAACAAAACTTGACGCAAGGGTACCTTTAGTTTCAAGAATTGAAGCAAAAACGGAAGAAGCTGATCCTTTCCCTTTACGCGAAACAACAAAATGGAGCAAACACTCAGCTTGTTGGTTCATTCGATGTGCAATGAGGAAATGAACCATGCTGCAATAAGACTGAACTGTGTGGCTAAAAGTAGGGTATGAAGATAGAAAGTCAAAGAAAGAAAGGAGGGATTTTGGAGGTAGAAAGTAAGGATTTTGGTTAACGAGGCTAATAAAGTGATGGGCTTTGAATGAAGGTAGGATGTTTTTGAGAGAAATGTGAAGTGGTTTTGTTTCAATGTTTTTTATTGCTTCAGAGATTGTTGTGAGAATCGGAGATTCATCGCGTGAAGGCGGCGGCGACTGTCTTGGTGGGGGTTGTGGGGGTGGTGAGTACCAAGTGGAGAAGGCGCAGAGGGTTTTTGGAGGAGAGAGGTGGGTTTTAGGGAGTTTGAAAGTAGCCATTTCATTTGTTTCTTGGTTTGCTGCTGCCTTCATTTGATAATCATAGACGAGTTGAAAGCTAAATATAAAAAATCCAATAAGGATCAAATTAAAAACACAAACAAAAGGGGGAACCTTTCCATTCTTTTGTTTCACTCCATCCTCTTTTCCTCCCATATTTTCTTTACAAAATTCATATGGTAATAAGATTTCAAAAAGAAGTTCTTAATTAAAATAAATTCACAAGGAGATCCTCCATTAGATGTTGTAATAGTCAGAAGCTATTGAAATCTTGAGTTAAATTAGAGATAATTAATTTTCTTTTTCTTTTTTGATAGATTAAAAGTTAAGATAAGAGTTGAAGTGAAATTTGATGGACATTACACCTTTTTTTTCCTGCTCTCGTTTCTGGAGCAAAATGCCCCAATTGCACAATGCCTTTCTCACAGGGAACGACACTGTCATTATTTTCTTTTTCTTTGTAATTATAGAGCAGTCTTGCAATTCTCCATTTCATTCTTAAAAACACAATAATTTTATGACCAAATTTACCTATGTAGTGAAAATAGAACTCCCACGCACACATAGAATCACATGTGACCGACATGGGGTCACTTTTGGTAGGTGTGGACCGGATGTCATCAAGCATGAGAAGCCTCTCAAATTGGTGTCCAACCATTCTTCATTTTTAGAATTGAGACGAGGAATTTCTTCTAATCAACTCCTTGACCATTAGGTTAATTCAGGAGAAATTTTTTCAGTCTACCGTGGTTTTTATCATAGTTATCATGTCCATTCGGGGATTAATTTTAAAAAAAAATATTATTGATTAATACTACGATTTCACCTTGTTTTATCCTATCTTATCTTAGTTTCCTCAGCCAATAATGCATCTTAGCTTGAACCATACTTATCTTAGTTTCCTCAGCCAATAATGCAGCTTAGCTTGAACCATACTTCGTCCTAAACAAGCAGCATCAAAGAGCAATTTCAACACAGGATCAGTCGGTGCTAGTGGTTTTGTTTTGTCTAATTGTGGCATCAGAAGAAGAATAGTGATGTTGATTGATATTTGTACAAGTTCATCATCAAGTACCTAGTCGAAATCAAATCTTATAATTGATCTCTCCAACTACTGTTTTTATCCTTTCCTTCAAGGCACCTTCATAAGATCTTATAACACAAACTTGGAACATATATATATATATATGTAGTAAATTGGCCTTCATAAGATCTTATAACACAAACTTGTAACATATATATATATATAGTAAATTTGTCTTATAATTGATCTCTCCAACTACTGTTTTTATCCTTTCCTTCAAGGCACCTTCATAAGATCTTATAACACAAACTTGGAACATATATATATATATATGTAGTAAATTGGATTTATTATTATTCTAGGAAGGCAAAAGTTAAGGAGTGCCTCGTAGTGTAAATGAATTTAATTATTAAACTCACCTATTTTAATTGAGTTAAAAAAAGAAAAAAAGAAAAAATTAAAAATCAAAATATTAAACATGTGTAATTTTTATATGCTTATATGAGATCAAATCTTTCTTACTTTGAGATGAGAGAAAGGGAAAGTTTTCTATGTTTCGTAGTGTAATATTTAAGTGTTTCCATTGAAAAAAAGAAAAGAAAGGAAAAAAGTCATGGAAGAGATAAAAGTTTGTGTAGGTAACAATTTAAGAAGTTGCTGTACATTCACCCACCGTTGGCAGTTCTTGTGGCTCAACTGGCAACCACCCAACTACCGGAATATACCTTTCCGGCTGCTGACGCAGCGCGCTAAAGCTCTTGTATGTTCACCACATCTTCCCTTGTGCCACAAACAACCGAATGTCTTAGCCAACAACCTTGTAAGAAAAATTTCGACTTGTTCTTCTTCTGCTTCATTCCACAAGTTTGATCACTATCCAATAATGAGATACTTTTTCCGCGATGAAGATGATCATCTCTATCAAAGATCTCGACGCCATAAGATCTCTTGCTGCTTGACTCTATAAGATAGTCAAGGTGCTTTGAAATGCTCTCTACCTCATAGTTATCAAGTAGAGAATTATCTGCACCGATTTGACTAGGTGCTTCTGAGCCATCCATGGTATCTTCCTTCACTCTCGATCTCATATATTCTAGCTTGTATCTTGACGGTCTTGGAGCTTGACGAGAACCTGTAACATCAGATTCACAGATAGGCTTTCCTTCTGACCCTGAGCCATGTTGGTACCATGCCCATGCAGCCGCCTTTACTAGGGCTAAATCACCAGTGCTGTCACCACCTTTAGGTTTCTTTTTCTCCATAAAAACCTTGAAGGGAGTAATAAAAGGCATAGGGGATTTGTATTGGAAGAATATGTGGAAATATCTATAGATAGAAAGAAAGTTGGTATTTCCCTACTAGAAGAAGGCATTATCCCTACTAGAAGCCTTGAATTAGGTGGAAGTTGGGGGCCCTCGGAGGACTAGTTTGCTGTCATGTCTTGTGAACGTGTACCATTCTCACTTGTCCACGTATGATCAAGTGTTTATTATACTTGAACCTTGTCATGCTCATTAACATTTTCTTACGATGAATTTGATGCCCATGTATTGCCATGAACTCCATATAACATCAAGGAGTCTTGTGCCCCATTACATTAAGAAACAACAGTTACATTACATTAAAAAAAAAAAATACGAAAAGTTTTGCTAAACTCAACGTGGATTTCCTCAAAATTAAAATACTGCACTCTCATCATCTTCAACCTTTCCCAAGAGAGAAGGAGACCGATTGATTTTTTTTTCCAACACTACATACCACGAAAGTTCCAGCAACTAATCCTCTATCAGACCTCCTCACTCTAAAAACCAATAGCTCCTCTCTCCCTTGCACCTTCACTAAAAAACCCAAATAGCTCCTCTCTCCCTTGCACCTTCACCAAAAAAAAAACCCATCTCATCTCACTGTTCAGACCTAAGAGAACCTGAGAACCATGGAGGAAGAAGAACATCACTATCGGCCACCACCCGAAGCACCAGTAACAGGCTAACATACTTCTCCGATAGACGTGACACCCACAACCAGCAGCTCCCACGGTGGTAGCTCCTCTAAACCACGACAGTCACGAAAACTTCTTCTCCTACCATCTTTGACCATCAACACAAACTTCTTCTCATCCGACAATGTTTCCATGTGCTGAACAGGATTTGTGGCCATTTTTTCAGCCATAGTTCCCAAACGAGTAGTGACAATAACTGCACTTCCCTTTAGCTCCACAACTCAATGCATCTTTCAATTTGCTCCAGTTATCATGGTCATCATTCCAAACATCATCCAATATGAGCAAAAACTTCTTACCTCCTAACTTTTCTTGGACGCATCGTAGAAGAACATCCAACTGTTGAATATTTGGAGAAGTGCGTTGAATGGACTCGATGATGGATGTTGTCAGTCTTTTTATGTTGAAATCAACTGATACGCACACCCAAATCCGCAAATGAAAATGCCCTTCTATTCTTCCGTCGTTGTAGACTAAATGAGAAAGTGTTGTTTTACCCAGCCCCCCCTTTCCATAAATAGAGAAATAATCTGAAATGGTGAGCAGCACGTTGACCAGATCTTGTTTCTCCTTGCCCCTTCCATAAATTTCTGATGCATTCACCCATGACCAAGTCTGACACCAATCAAAAATACCTGCTTCTATCTCCAAAGCCCCTTCACTTAGATGGAAATTGTGTCTCTCCTTGGCAATGGCATCTAGTTTTTCTCTAACATTCTTCAATTTATGCACCATTCTTTGTCGAAAAACAAGTGGATTATGATTGATAGGAAAGAAGGAACTAACTCGATATTTGAGATCTCTTGGCTGCTGATGCAACTGAGCTTCAATTGCAAACTCATCTAGCAAATCATCAGCATCATAAGCTGCATCCTTGATGTCTCTGAGCCACGCCTTTATAGGCCCACTCTTCCACTGCTTCTCCTCTGCATCTTGCATCACAGCTCGAATAGTTCTGAACGCGGTTGAGATTTTCAAGCTCAGTCTCTCGGCCCCCAGCCAGTCCAAGCTCTTGAAGAATTGGGGAATTCAAGTTCCCATGATTGTACTCGCGAGAGCAGGAATCAGCCATAGCTTGTTTTCGAATGGAAAATAATTGGATGTTGACAAGAAGTAGAATAGGTTCAAGGATAACCAAAAGCAGGGGTGTAAGCAAGAAACGGTATGTATTGAGAAGACAGAGCAGTGTGAGATGAGAATGGCAAAGGTGAAAGTGTTTGGTGATGAGCTTTTCTTCTGCTATCGATCAATTATTCATTACATTAGTGATTAATAATGTGGTGGTTCAATTTTATTAAGATATTAAAACTGCCGTCCCTGACTATATTGATTAGGCTCCACACAGTTCAGACTTGACTAGCTATGCTTACAATAAAGCAATTGAAGTTTCAAAGAAGGAACATGGCTGTGATTTGAAGACAGAATTTGTCTACTTGAATTGCCTTGTTTGTTAGCAAACGTCTTCTTCTCTACACAGTTTTTTTTTTTATCAGTGTCCAGTTTGTTAGCAAACGTCTTCTTCTCTACACTCAGTTTTTTTTTTTTTTTATCAGTGTCCGGTGCCCTTCGGTGACCCCATAACCATGCAGTCACGCTGCGCAGTGGCCAGACCCTCGGAAAAACCAATATTTTACAGCGCTAGTGAATGCAAGTTGCCCAAGATTGTAAATGCAAGCGCAGAAACAAGTACACCAGCCATGTTCTCTTCTGAAGTGAAAATGGGAACTGACACGGGTAAGATAAATGTTTTCCGAGTAGGGTTCCTTTTCTTTTATTTTATGACAAGGAGATAAGATGAAGAATGATTCAATATCGCAAAATCGACAGGATCAAAAGGGTTCTAAAATTAGAAGTGTAAGATCAAATATAGGAATTAGTATACTTCGAAGGCACAACAGTCCTTGGAACAAAAAAGAAAGAAAGAAAACTTGATTACGCCAGAGACGGGACAGCCAATAACACACCAGTACAGCATCCATGGAGCTATTTAACATCTTTCTGTATGCAGCAAGGTGGTCATGGCCATACCTGGTTTGTTTTTGAAGTTTTGAAGCTCCAGAACCATAGTTATTTGAACATATATGTTTACTCAAATGGAAAATCTTCACAGCAAACTTTAATTTACAATGCACTAGTGAACAGCCGTTCATAATCTGGAAAACAATGTAAATGCTATTATTAATAGTTTCACCTTATTAATAATTGACAGTTGCAATTGAAAATTTAACGGAATGCTTAGGAACCTGATGTTCTATTTTTAGGGACTCCAAGATCGAAGAACAGTGCACAGTGAACTTTTTTTTTTCCGGATTTAATTCAAATCAATGTGTTGCCATCCAATTAATCTGGTAATTAAAGAAGAAAGAAGGGTTCTTGAATAACAAGAAGAACAACAAAAGAAAAGAAACAGAGAGAAAGGGAAACTTTTAGTAACATTCAAGACTTACTATTTTTGAGAAAGGGAAACTTTTAGTAACATTCAACACTTGCTATTTTTTTTAACAAAATTAACATTCAACTCAAATCATTTTTTAACAAAATTAACATTCAACTCAAACCATTAACATTGTTTTTTTTCTTGAATCACAGAATATCTTGTCCCAGCTTTCACGTGCTAAACCAAGTCTTGACAGCCTGGAACTGATCTTTACACAGTGTTAAGCCACACAGCTCTCGGCCGTAAAAGATTTGATGCTAGAAAAGTTCAAACTGAAGATCTGAAGAGAGTAAACCTCCAAGCCCATAATTAAGTTTCACTAGACCAACCCCTTGGAGTTACCATTTACATTGTCTGCTTGCTATTCATGCTTCATTCATGGTCACCTCAATATTTCACTAATTTTCATTTTTAAAAAATATTGGGAGATGTGTCAAACTCATATTGATTATAATTTTAGAAAAAAAAAGAATAAAAAAAAAGCATGTAGAATGAATTGATTGAAAAGGCACCACTTATTAGTCTCATAGATTGTACTGCAGAAGATATAAAATAAAAACAGAACACAACGCCACCAAACTGCAAATTACCCGGGAATCTGAGCGAACGAATCTGATGCCCTTGGCAGGATATATCTTCGCCCCACTGAACCGGCAGAGTTCAGTCCTGAAATCATCCAGACCAGACAAGCTTGATGCTCATCATGATAACATATTGAAACCCTCAGATGAGATCATTTGCATATAAAAATGCTTCATTCCAAGCCCGATAAGTTTGATGGTTAACGATCGTGCTTCTAAAACCTCAACGAGATAATTTGATATTTACTCAAGAAATCAAAGTGGAACACATGACTAGTGTGATTATGGACATGTTGCAAGAAAAGGTTTTTACTCAAGAAATTACTAGAAAAAAAGGTGAAAGATGTTGTTCGGACGTATAGTAGGAATTTAATGATTATCAATTACATGTTGAAAGCTATAGAAAATATTAGTTTGGGAAGGTATGTTCTTCCCAAACTAACTTCAGAAAATGTTAGACGGAGAAATATTGCAATTTGAGCAGGAAATTATAGTTTTACCTTTTCTTACTATTGTTTCAAGAAATTTTAAGTACTCTTCCATTTGTGAATAATTTGATATTTCTTTAAGTATATTTTTTACTATTTCAGGTCAAAAGTGTAAGGACTATGGACACCACTTATCTCCATATTGGTATGATATTGTCCACTTTGGGTCTAAGCCCTCATGGATTTGTTCTTGGATTATACCCAAAAGACCTCATATCAATGGAGATATTTGTCCATCTTTATATACCCTTGATCCTCTTCATTTCTAACCAATGTGGGACTTTGATCGCATACCTAACAATCCTTCCCTCGAACAAAGGACCACCGAGCCTCTCCTCAAACGATCATTTATCCATCCACTCTCTGCCAACTAGAATTTTTCATTCTTTACTTCTCTTTACTTCATCGTGTTGGGGTCAGGACACGTCCATGAAGCATCC